AACCAAGAAGACTTCAGTGTTGCCATAGTCACTGGCAGTACTTACCCTGCTGACTAAATTTACTATAAACTTTCAAGTCCACCATCTTCTGGTCTACTTGGAACCACTGGTTTTCTGAAACTTCTACTTTGCTGTACCAAACTTTGGTGGTCTGGGCTAAAACAAAAGCCAGTGAATAATCTTTAACAGAAATAAAGTCTATGGCAAAGCCATTTTCTGGGCAAAGAAATTTGCTCAATAAAAACACTTCAGCTCATCTCGTAATCCAGTGAGTAAAAAGAAGTTTTAGAAAAGGAATATGTTTCTCCAGGTCATTGCTGAGAAGAAACTTTGCGAATTTCTTCAGAATTACAAATTTCCCTCTGTAACAAAGTCACATTAGCCACATGTGGTGGTACACATTTGGGCAGCTGAGGCAGAAGGATTTTGAATTTGGGGTCAGCTTGGTGTATAGAGTGAGACACCGTCTCAAAAAAAAAAAAAAAAGTCAAAGTCCCATGTCATTAAATTATGACTACAGCATTAAAAATGTCCAAATAAAAAGCTAGGATATGTGATACTTAAATGTCATCCATGCAATTAACAAGTAACAATTTCAAAATTCACAAAACAATGCTTTTCTGGAAGTGGCTTATTTGTACTCGGAGTTAGCAGGAGATCCTAAAATGATTGGGAAGGGGCTCGTCAAGTAGCTATGAAAACAGTATCTCTGGGGTAGGATCTAAAACTGTTCTAATGTGACTGATGGACTGACATTTGGACATCCAAGGAGCTAGATTTGTTATAAATCTTATTTTCCAGGTTTATCAAGTCTAGATACTCGTCAGAAATCTACACGCAGAACTCTAATATCTATCATCTATCTATCTATCTACTGTTTATCTATAATGCACTGAGTTCATTATTATTGCTCTTGTGTACATGTGTTTATGGCTGACCACCTGAGACTGGATAACCTCTCGGAGAGATAGTCCCATCTATTATCTATCTATCATCTATCTATCTATTTATCTATCTATCTATCATCTATCTATCTATCATCTATAGATAGATGTATAATAGTAAGTTAGAACACTATGACTTGAGACAATCCTCTTAAAATGCTAGAAATGCCATGTTAGAGCATTGTGTAATGTTGTATATATGTGTCAGGAAAGCACAAGGGGGGGTATTTGTGGAACAATCTGGAGGCCAGCAAGATAGGAAAAGGGTACACAAGGGAAGACATGGGAGTTTGAATAAGAGCAAACTATGATAATGAATATGTATGAAAATGTCACAATGAAGCCCATTTCTTTGTATGCTAGCCAAAAAGAAATTAATTAAAAAAAATAAGAGACTGCAAAGATGGCTCAGCAGTTAAGAGCACTGACTGCTCTTGCAGAGCACCCAGGTTCAGTCCACATGGGGCCCAACAACCATCCATAATTCCAGTTCCAGGGGATCCAACATTCTCTTCTGGTCTCCATGGGTACTGTACAACATGAGTATACTTAGATACATGCAAGCAACACACTCATACACATAAAATAAAAAGAAAGAAGAGAAAAGAAAAGAAAGGAAAGGAAAAGAAAAGGCTATATAATTCACCTAGTACCTTCATGTTTGCTTACTCAGCTAAGGCAGGTACTGTCGCTGTTTTATTCATAAGCTGGTACTACTTCTAACTGGCAGAACAGATGTATCACCTAGTTCCAATTTTTGGCTCAGTTCTTTATGCACTATACCACTGCTATGGTTAGGGTAAGTGTCCCCCAAAGGCCCATGTGTTGAAGGCTGGTCTCCAGCCTGCTGTGGTATTAAGTGGTAATGGAATCCTTAGGGATAGAGCCAAGTGGAAGGAAATTAGGTTATTTAGAGTCTGTCCTAGAAGGAGATTTAAACTCTATGGCAACCTTCTCTTTCTCTCTCTTTGCTTCTTGACTCCATGGGGTGATCAATTTTCTCCACCATATAATCCCATCATGATATATTTACCACAAGTTCAAAGGCAATGGGCCAAGTGATCATGAACTTAAGAAAATATGAGCCAAAATAAACCTTTCTTCCCTCTAAGTTAGTTAACACAGGCATTTTCTCACAATGACAGTTGCTAACATAGCCATGGTATCTTCAAAAACAAAGTGCCTCTTATGAAAGACAGATATTCCAGGACCCAAGCTTATCCTCATAGAGAATAACCAAATAAGCAATCGCTCTCCCAAGTTACAGAATCACTGTTACACACTGTTTTGCAGGTTAGGAAAGTCAGTCATTCTAAAAGAAAGACACTATCAAGGATGGTGCGAAGCAGGAGCAGATAGGCACTTTCTGGATTTCCAGGAGTAAATTCAGACACAATTCGATCTACACAACCAAGACTTACTGTGTTGGTTAGTTTTTGTGTTAACTTGACACAAACTAGAGTCACCTAGGAAGAAGAAATCTTAATTGCAGAATTTCCTCCTTGGACATGTCTGTGGGGCATTTTCTTAATTGCTAATTGATGTAGGAGGCTCCCAGTCCACTGTGGGTGGTTCCATCCCTGGGCAGGTGGGCCTGGGTTGCATAGAAAAGTAGCCTAGAAAGCAGGGTGGGGTGGTGGGTGGAGCAAGCCAATAAGCAGCATCCCTCCATGGTCTGTACTTCAGCTCCTGCCTCCAGGTTCCTGCCCTGAGTTCCTGCCTGATTTTACTCAAAGATTGACCTAGATTGGGTTTGGTCAGTGTTTTATCATAGCAATAGACACCTACCATCATCAGCTGTTGTCCAGAACATCACACCTTCCCCACATGAAAAGAGGTGAAGACCCTGAATTCCTTGGTGGTCCACTCTGTGTCTCGAGCCATCTAGCTGAATACTTTCTATGAGTCCCTGCCCTAGGAAGAGATGACGAGTTAATTACATTTCTCCCCAACAGCTATACTATGTCCTGTAGTTTGTTATGCCTTGTTTGTTATACCTCCGGATGACACTGGCTGCCATATGGACTCTAGAGTGAATTCTGCCTTATTCATCCCTCCCTAACAGTGATCACAAATATTTACTTATATATATAATGTGCGTGCATGATGTGTGTGCATGATATATTTGTGTGTTGAGTATAGGCATGCCTGTGCTACAGCTTATGTATAGAGGTCAGAGACAATTTCAGGATTCAGTCCTTACTTTCCACCTTACTTGAAGCAGGGTCTCTTTATTGTTTGCTACTGCACTGTATACCAGGCTATCTGGCCTACGAGCTTTCTGGGATTCTCCTGCCTCTACCTTCATCTTCCATAGGACCATTAGGATTACAAGCATGTGCTACTGTGCTCTGCTTTATAGGGGCTCTAGGGATTTGAATTTGGGTCTTTATACTTGTAGGACAAGTACTTTGCCCACTTAGCCATCTCCCTAGTCCTCATTCATATTTTTTGAGTTCTCAACCTTATTCTTTTATAATGGAGCAATTGCATGACTCTGTGGATTATAATGTGCTATTTAGGACAGGAAAAGATTGTATTTGTTTGGAATGTGTTGACAAAATATGTAGGTGCAGATCTGAAAGCTTTTTGAGGATATAGCTGAAGATCACAGACTAGAACTTCATAATCTGGAGCAAGGTCCCTCAGGCTCATATTTAGGGTATAGATAACAACTGTTCACCGGTATCGGCCCAGTACAGTCTGGTCCCTGAGGCCAGGCCCACAGGCACCTGGGATTTCTGCCACAGCATCTTTTTCCTGCTGCCATCCATAGAGGCACATTCAATGCTGGAGCCCTGTCTTCCATCATCCTGGGAGCCCTGGTCTGCCAAGCACATGGCTGCAGTAGGTGGATAGAGGACAACACAGGTTGGGTGGTAAAGGTCTTCACTGAGCAGGACAATGGGATACTGACCACCTGAGGAAACTACATTGATGTGGGGATTCTCACTGTCAATCCAAGATGTTTCCACTCAGCCAGTCCACAGGAAAGTCAGTCACAGTCCCCTTCACAGATACAATTTTCCTCCATGAAAGCACTCCTGATTCTTTAAGCCTCAGGAGCTTGATGTCACCACTGCTCAGCTCTGACAGGTAGAGGGCCTTTTCCTGGACAAGATAATCTGCTGATGCGAGCAGATTCACACTGGTAAAGGGAAGTTTTCTGTGTTCTGGTACAGTTGCTTGTTGTGGTAAAGGTTTAAGATTTTTCAGATAGATCTATAAAAAAAATTAGTGGATGGCACTGGTCACGTCCACTTTAACTTTTTTTTTTAATTTTTACAAAAACTTTATTGAGAATTTCATACATGCATATAAGGTATTTTGATTCATCTGAATTTGACATTAGTGCTAGGATTCTTTAATTCAGATTTTCTGTCTTCTGAAAGCAGAAAGCAGTTAGCTTGTTCCCTTCCCAGAGCCTTAATCACTAAGCATTCCTGGAATCTATGTATTTTGAAGATATGATCAATCCTTTAAAGCCCTTCTCTTTAAAGGAGACATATTTTTAACTCACATCACACTGAACTGAAACTGATTTCCCACCATGTCCCGACCTGCGAGACAGTCAACGTGGGTACCTGGAGGGAGGAGAGAGGACCGAAAGGGACAAGTGATGCAAAGAATGGAGACAAGACAGGCTTTCTGATCAAGTCTCATTTATTGAACATCTACACAAAGTTTTTATAGAGAGGGAAAAGGGGAAACTTGGCAGGGACAAATCTATTGAGGCAGAGCAATTCTATTAACAGAACAATTATCATAATTACACCACACCAGTTGATCACAGAGTAAATTCCATAGTAACACCACAATTTTATATAGCAAGTTATAAATCAATTAAGAGGCTACACTTGCATGATTACAAAGTAATGCCAAAGCTTCCTAGGCAATTACATGAGAAATGAGGGAGTCTCTCAAGCGGTAAGTGCCCGAGTTAGAATAACATGTTTGTGTGAGGCTTTCAAGTATGGCCATCTGGTTAATCTCAAACCAGGTCAGACTTGATGTCTGGAAAACAGCTTTGCCAGGAATCAGGTCTTGCTATTTTCTGGGGTGGGGGCCTACGGCTCTCCACACCACCATATAACTTGTTTTATAATTTTAAAATGCTAAAATTGACAAATTCTCTGGATGGTGACCTGCTTATTAGTACATTTATCCTCTATTAATTTAAGACACAATCCTTCAAAAAATGTGTGTCCTCCAAGGCTAAACTCAGTGGAGCTTCTTGCATTTAGAAGTATATGCATCTCCACTAAGATACTGGAAAACTAAACAGAGATAAACACACTCTCTAGTCTGAACCTCACTGTGTTCTGGTGTGCTAAGCATGTCATAAAGGAATTTAGGTGAGTATGGTCTTCATTTAAGTATTTTAAGAAACTTTCCTTTGGCCACAATAACTCTTTTGTTATGATCAAGAGGCTTTATTATAGTCACAATGATACTCTGCAGATAACGAATATTAAAATTTAAATTGTGTATCAATTATTTTTCAAGAAGAAAGGTCTCCAATGTTTACAACTGTGTGTGGAGAATTCTAATACTCAAAGTCCAAATAAAGCAGAAACAAGGCATAGACATGTCAGGAAAATTCCAGAACAGTACCTGAGTGATAACTGTAGGCAATATCAGGAATACAAAGGCAGACTCCTGGACTGAAACACAGCTGATTCCATCATCTGCCAATAGGAAGCCTACCCGACAGTGACAGCTTCCCTTGGATCGTGGGTTCAGAAGACACAAGTGAGAACATCCAGTGTCCAGACAAGGACTAGAAGACCTGGGCTGGAGCACTTCATGCATTATCTAGATGCCACTCTGTGTTATTGAATCCTTTCAAACAGAAAGTGATCAATTTTCTTTTCTGTTCCTTTCCTTTTCCTTTTCCCTTCCTTCCCCCCTTCCCCCTTGCCTCCTTTCCCCTCCTCTTCCCCCTTCCCTTCCCTTCCCTTTCCTTTCCTTCCAGCTTCTACCTTCCTTCCCTTCTCTCATGTTTTATGTGCTAAGAATGTGCCTCATACCAGCTGATCACATACTGCTCTGCCACTGAGCTATAGCCCCAGGCCAAATTTGGCTTCTTAATTATTGTGGTTAGATGTCACTAGAGTTGGCTGTTAGACAGCACATACATATAGCCCTTTACAAGAGGACTCAGGAGATATTTTAAAGGACACTCCACATACCTTGAGTCCATAGGGCTGTCCGTAATGCTTGATGAGGACAGCCCTGTTCTTGCCTGTCATCTTCTCCATACGTTGTACTGTTCTTGTCTTTGTGCCAGACCAGAAGACTTCATCTTCAAACACAGCTACTGAAAAGGGATTCTTGATTTGTGTTAGCTGCAACATTTACAATGGTGAAGGTGAGCTTTCTGGAGTGAGTTTTACACAAGACACAGGACCCTTCAACCAAGCCTAATGTCAAAAAGACACTTACACTAATGCCAGTGCCATCTAAGTTGGCAGAGCCAATGCAATGAAATTTGTCATCAGACCAGAATGTCTTCCAACTTAACTGGTCAAGAGCTATGCTAGTTGTCCATCCAAGGCCTTGACTGATGAGTGTCTGTCTGCTGCTGCCATCCATTCCAACTTGCTCTATTTGAGGCTTTTCTCTAACTTCAGACCAGTACATCAATCTGTGTGAATAAAAGCCAGATTTAAGGTAGTGCATAGCCTTACAGAAAATATCTACCAACGCATTCTTGAAAACACTGACTTATCAAAATTAAAAGGTGAAGATTCCAAATGTGTGTAAAACATAGTTTAAAGTTTAATGTCACTACAGCAAAAGAGATTATTATTGACTGGGTGTGTGGTAGCTGGGGCTACAGGGAGATCCTGTCTCAAAAAGACCTAAAAAAAAGAAAAGAAAAAGAAACTGTTATTGACTTATGGTTCAATTATTTTTTCCTCAAATTTTATTTATTGTATTTTAAAAAATTTATTTAATAGCCACATGATTAGAAAAAGCATTTCATTATAGCTTTAACATATTCAATAACAATTTCCAGAGCAAAGACACATCTTTTTCAAAAGTGGCTGTAAATTTTTAGGTTCACAGTTGAATTAATACAGTTATACAATATTGAACTCAGTATAAACCCTGTAAGACATAAAATTGAGTGAGTTTTTAACCTTTAAAAAAGATCTCCATCACATTTTAAAATCTGTTTCCTACAGAAAGACTAATTTTTAATGCTACTAACACTTAGATGTTTGCACATGCATCTCTAATCTTTATGTATCTGATTATTACTAGTCACAGTCAGTTACACTCAGCTCCTTGGCACCTGAGTATGGATATAAAGTCATCAGGTAGATTTAAATGGTAATGTTTATCACCTCTACTAATTAACATTAAGCAAGTTTTTATGCTTCCTCCTCAAATATAACTTATTTTTTTATTTGTTGATTTTTGTGTGTGTATATTATACAGAACATCCCAAACAATCTTATTCATCTATATATCCACTTCCCAAATGGCACCCTCCCATAGCCTCCCCCCACCACTGGAGCCCATATACTCTGTCATCCCTGTTACTGTCCTCTGTATTGTCATCACTCCTAGCCATTTCCCAGTGCTTGTCCATCCGCTGAATCTAGCCAGTCCATCTAGAGTTCCTTGTTTTAGGAAGATCAGCTCTTCCTCATCTAGCAGCAATCACTTTTCAATGTTCCTTTTGATAAGATTGGGGTCTGCTATTCATTTTCCCAGTTCAATGCTGGGTTACTGTCTGGGAATCTCTTGGGCCACCCTGGCCAATAACTCAGAGGAAGGTATCTCCTGGCTGGCATTGTTTCTTGTTATGTAGCCTTTAGCTATACATATGGACTCTTAAAAAATTATATTGACCCCTTTAATCTTTGGTTATACTTTCCTTTTGGGTGTTTAAGACCCTGCAGTTGGCCAGATAAACCAATTTATTTTTTACTCTTAAGGTCATTTGAGGATCTGTTTTTAATTAGTTTTATTCCTTAAGGATAATTGTGAAATATTAAAACTTTTCCTTGAAACTTCATGGTGATTGTTTGCCATTACAACAAGAAAGCCTGAGAATACAATAGTCTCCAGCCTAGAAAATATCCAGTAAACTTGCCAATCTTTCCTCAGCTACAGAATAGCCAAGAGCCATGGGTATATGTGTGCCTCAGACCACATTCTTGACTGCAGACTATTACATGCTCCAAAAACTACTTCCAGTTTCCTGGAGACCATATCAATGATTCCTGATTGAGGGTATTACAAAGGTGAGAAAGAAAAAAGAGGATGCCAAATACGAGTTACCTTTGCCTAGATTTCCTATGTCTTTTAGAATTATATTTGTTATACACACAGGCATCTCCGTGACAGGATGGGAATGTTAACCTAAATTGCATGCCTTTGGGCTGAAGAGATGGCTTAATGGTTAAGACTGTTTGCAGTGAAGAACATCCGAGTTGGATTTCTAGAACCCATGTGTACAACTCCCAAAGTTGTACTCTCACCTCCACATATGCACCTTGGCATGTACACATGTGCACATGTGCACACACACACACACACACAAACACAGAGAAAAAGAGAGAATAATAAATACAATTTTAAAATTCACATGCCTTCACAGAAAGAAAAGACTGTAGATAGAATAACTCAAGCTTAACTCCAGTATGGATTATAATAAATTAAACATTCCCTTTAGTTTCCTTCTCCCTTTACCCACCACTTTAAAATCATAAATGTATCCGAGGCTTACATTTTTTTACCACAGCAGAAGAAAACATATGGCCCACTAAGTGAGCTACACTCATACCTCGTTTTACTGAAACAAAGAACTCTTTCCCAAAGTTTCTTAATGATTGTCATGTGTCTAGTTGATCCACATCACCATCAGATCTAGAGTCGGATGAGTTTTCTATTTACTCATTTCGGGTTTGGGGTTACTGAAGTAGAACTAAGGAGGAATAACAAATTCAATGGTCTTGACCAGGCATTTGACTCACCCATTTAGGGGATCCAAAGCCAAAGCCTTGGGCTGATTCACGCCACCATCCAGAACAACTGTGTACTCAGGTTTTCCTCTCCAAACAGCAATTAACTGAACTGCCAAAATCTGGCCAGATCTCCCATCAGTCCAGTAGAGATTCCTTCCAATCCAGTCAACCACTACACAGCTTGGGTTTATTCCTAAAGAGATTATTCAGCATGTGTTCTTGCACTAAATTATGACTTCATTAGACTTAAGCCCACAGATTCTAGACTTGCATGTCATAGTCATTCATTTTCCAACTGCTATAAACATACCCAAGAAAGAATATAATTATATGCTCCAAAATATCATCATAGAGGAAGTCAATCATTAGAAGCAGCTTGGCAGATCCATTATCTACTGAGATGACAATACATCATCCCATTTCTTACTGACTAGCAAGTATTGCTCTATTTTCTAAATCATTTAAAAATGCTATATGTATGAGTATATTGCCTGCATGTATGTAAGTACATCTGTGTCATACAATGCCTGCAGGTCAGAAGAGGACATCAGATTCCCCTGGAACTGGAGTTATAGACAGTGGTTACCAACCATGTGGGAGTTGGGAATCGAACCTAGGTCCTCTGCAAAAGTCTCCAGTGCTCTTAACTGCAGTTGCTCTATTTTAAAATTTATGGGTGTATGTGTGAGCCAGCCTATCTGTATGTGTACAATATGCATGCAGTACCTGAAGAGTCCAGAAGAAGGTATTGGACCCCCTGGATGTAGATTGGCTGTGAGGTGCCTGATATGGGTGCTGGGAACCAAACCTGAGTCCTCTGTAAGAGCATCAAGTGCTCTCAACCATTGAGCCATCTCTCTAGCCTTGCTCTCTTTTAGCTAAGGAGATCTAATCTGACCCATGTTTAATAGCCCTTCAGTGTGTGGTTCATGCTCTGTATATTTAATGAGAGTAGGATGAATGCTTTACAAAGGGGCCTACCTCTCACCACAGTGCCTTCCTTCTTTGTGTCCACACTTATCCACTTTATACTTTCTGAGTTGAGATCTGCCCAAAAGACTTTCTGATCCATTAAGTCATAGTCAATGGAGTTGATAATCTGGTTCTTGTCTGTAGCTGTCAGAATATCCTCTTTCAAGCTTCTTAGGCCAGAGAATAGGTTAAACTGAATTGCAGCAAACAGGATTGGCTCAGCACCTGCCAAAAAGGAACCGCTTTCAACATGACCATAACAGTGTTCAAACAGAGTTTGAACAGTGAAGAGTAGTACCGGCTAAGGAATAAGGGAACACAGCAGCTTTTGGCTACTTATTGCCAGGGCTGAAATTCCAACTAGCTCAAATTGAAGCAGTTCCTCATAACACAATGATTACAACAATAACCACAGTTTAAGGGTAACATAGAAAAAAGCAAGTGTACAAAATGTCACTGTGACATTTTCATTACATACAGATTATTGGACCTTGCTCATATGCACTCACACTCTCTTCTACCCACCCCCATCATTGGTCTGCTTCCTTTCTACACACACACACACACACACACACACACACACACACACACACACATACACACACACACACACACGTATTATATAATGCATAATTGAATGTAGATACCTCGTGAGAGAAAAAAATATTATTTTTGTCTCTCTTACCCCATTACCTTCTCTATTCTTTGCCCCTTTCCCCTCCCTTTAAATCTCCCCTGAAGGGGCTGTGAAATAGTGTTCTTATGACTTTCAAAATATGCTTGGTAAATTTAGCCAAACTTCAGACATTTATGTCTGGAGAGTCTGTCTCATGAGAAAGTCTATGCAGGAACGCCTGCTGGGGCGTTATCTCCAGAATGCCGGTACTCCCCTAGTTTCTCAGGAGACACCTTTATTTCCCAAGGCATATTATGGTGGTACAGTTATCCTGGTCATTATATTTTGCTTACCTGCTGTATTATAGCCTCTTTATTATTATTCACTGTTCTGTAAACATTTAACTGAAGCCCTAATGCATATGAGTATAAAAACAGAGTTGCCTGAGCGTTTGGCACTCAGGCGTGGATGAAGAAATAAGAGTAAAGAAATAAAGTGGCACGAGTCCCTTGGTCTTTTGTCAGTTCTGTGTAATCCATTCAGGTCCCATGGCTGCGCCCCTCACAGCCACCCCCCACTCATAATCTCCCCTTTTACTTCCATGTCATACACATAATTCACATTTAACTCTAGATTCCACATAGAACAGAAAACATGCAATATTTGTCTCCCTATGTCTACCTGATTTCATTCAACATGATCTCTAGTTCCATCTACTTTCCAGCAACAGACATGATTTTATTCTTCTTTATGGTTACATAAAATTTCATTGTGTACATACACCATGTTTTCTTTATCTGTTCATTTGTTGCTAGAGATTAAGCTAGTTTTGAAGGAAATATTTGGGGCCAGTGAACTGGAAAGATTGTGCTTCATAGGACCCATAGTCACAGAGAGTAGAGTTAGGAGTCCAAAGCTCATGGCCCAGTGTTGGGAAACCCTGCTGTTAGGGTTGTAGTTCTCCATGTCTGGATAGCCCTAAGGGGCTCAGCACCAAATGGAAGGACTCCCCTTTTCAGCAGGGGGCCTCCTGCTTTCTTCCTGGCTTACCTGGAAAGTGCCACCAAGCACGGATGCCTGACCTTATTTGGAACATGGCCTTTGGCATAGTTACCTGGAGCAAAAACTACCCCCAGGTTTTTTCTATATGATAATCAGGCATTGCCTGCTACCACATGTAAATAAAGTATACTATGAGCACCTATCAGCTTCAGCTGAGGCATTGGCTACTGCCTCCACACTATATTTTCCCTAGTTCTCCCACTGAATAAACAGAGCTGTTTCACTGAATCTGTTTCACTGCGCCCTTGGAACCTGCCTCCCCGGAAGGGCTTTCTTCCGTCAGTGCTCACTGGCCGTCCGGACTCCGTTCGTCGCTTCTGCTCCCCCTGCCCTCGTGGACTGGTGGCCAATGACCCGCGAAGAGAGGGAGAGACCCCCGCAGCTCCGCAGCCCAGGGTTTAGAAGATATCCCCAACTCCAGGTTACCTGTTGCCTTACAAGTGTGGCCATCAGGCCTCAGTGAGTAGCCAGGGTGACAGGTACAGATGTATGTATGAGCCCTTGGTATTGATACAGGTCTGACCGCAAGGCTGTCCCACTGACTCCCAGCACTCATCTACATCCTGGCATGTTCGACTACTGTTCTCTAGCTCAAAGCCTGGCTCACATGTACACACCTTAGAGAAATGAAAAGACATAAGCACATTCTCAAGATAAAATACCATGGTAAAAAGGTTTTGATCTTGGTATGAAATATGCATGGTGATACTTTCTATTTTGACAGCTGAAACTGTTCTCAGATCCAGCTTTGCTTTGAATATAGTCACTTCTTTCTCCTTATCAACCTTGTGCACTCCTTCCACCCTTCTTCCCATCATGGGTCCTGAGTGGAGCTGGATCAATGTGAGAAGAAGCACACAGACCTAACTTGAACTGGCTCTCTGCCAGTGGAGATGTTGGTGTGACTGGATATCACACAGAACATTTTCCTTTTGCTTTTCTATGAGAATCAAGTTCATTGCAGTCAGTTGAGTAATAAATATTCCCTAAACACAGTCAGTTCTCAAGGGCAGGTCAGACTCCAAATAGCCACATGGAAGCAACTCTAAAGTTGTCGGTTTCCTGACCTGTAACATGAGGCAGATGTTTGGCTCTTGGTGGCATTCAGAGTTTCTCCTATAGTGTCACCCACAGCTCTGAGCAGGGGTGGGACAAACCACAGGAGAAGCTTTTCCAGGCTGTGCAGCTGGAAGACAAAAGATGGGGGAGGAGCTAAACAGGACTCTCCAGGAGTCAGGAAGGCTCAAGTAAATGAATAGCAGTCAGGACAGCTCTGCTGTATAAATTTTAGAGGTCAAGGAGAGATCAGGCACAACCTGAATGAGTGAGCTACTTGTTTTCCCCAGACCCCGTATATAGCTGCTAGAGAACAGAAGCTGAAGCAACTAACAGGCCCAGCTGGGGACTCATAGCAGGCATGAGAACACAGCCCTGGTCTGCATGCCGATGAAGAGCAGGCTCCACCTTCATCTGAACCATCTGCACAGTCCTCTTTCCCATCACATACCATGCTGAAACTGAGGCAGGCACCCGTGTGGCACTGGAACTCAGAACCCTGGCACTTCTCAGGAGGACCTGGTGGGGGATTATCTCCTCCTTAGAGTTTTACAATCCAGTCCCTAGAATCCCTCCCCTACAAAGCTCCTCTGTGTGTAACCAAGAAGACCCCACCAATCAGAATAGGATAGATCTCAAGTTCTGCAACATCTGCAGTGGGTATCCATGAATGCCCTTGCCTTCCACCTCAGTGAGGTGCCCTGTACTTACATCCAGCCTCGTCACTGCCATCCCTGCGGTCCCTCTGCCCATCGCAGTGCCAGGAATCAGGCACACATTGGTCTCCATTGGCACAGGTCATTGCCTCAGGCCACATGGAAGCACCTCTGGGTCACAGTCCTGAGGAGACAGTGACAGTCAGTGTCCCCTTGCTCCAGCTAAGGAAAGAGCTCACAGAGGAACAGGAGGTCTAAGCTAGGCAATTAATCTCAAGTCCCCTTTGCAAGGATGCCAGATGAAGCCTCAATGCCCAGAAGTTACACAATTTATGAGAAGCTCTTCTTTTAGCTGGAGCTTAGAAGAGGTTTTCTAGGTGGAACAAACCAACTGGAGAGTCTTCATTTCATCCGGGAAACAGAAACAAAGGAATCTATTCTACAAACTAATCTAGATTTCTTTCTGTCACATTTAAAAAATTTGCATCTACTCTAAGTTGGGTACTTAGAGGGGAGAGGTCATCTGTAATAGCTTCTCATCTCTAGAGCCTTTAGACATTCTCAGCAGCTGAGCATGAAGATCACGTGTAAGCAGTAGGAGTCATCTAGGAGGCACCTTGCATAATTCTGGAGCTTTAGTGAACTTCATGGGGGCAACTAAGTGGAGCTAGTGACAAGGTTGAGCTCTTCAGAGTGTACCTCTAGATCAGCAGTCATCACGTTCCAGTCCTTGGAGATGTCCTCCTACAACACAAGAATCCCTTAAAAGCCTTACTTTCACCAGCTACCTTGTTAACACTTCGTTGTAGCTATGGGAACTTTCCTGGATGGTGATTATAGGTGACTTCTCTGTTTTTGTGTTTTCCTACAGAAAGCATGTGTTACTGAAATATTTAGAAACACATCCTTTACAATCCAGTTGTGTAGATTCTGCATCAGTGGATCCTACAGTGAGGGTCAAAAATTTTTAACTGCATCTTTACCACACATGGATAAATGTTTCTTGTCACTATTCCCTGAACAATGACAGTGTGACAAGTATTTACATAGCATGTATACTGTGCTGGGGATTATAGGTAACTAGAGAGGAAGTATGGAAGATGTCAGTTAGCTGTAAGGACATGCTATGCCCCTTCATCTAAAAGACCAGCATCCAGAGACTCTGGCATTCCAAGAAGCTCCAAGAACTGATCCCCTGAGTCTACTTGGGAGAGCGATGATACTTCAGTATTTTTCTGGAGGACTATGTTACCTTCTCATCTGTTCCATCTTTGCAGTCTAAATCATGGTCACATATCCACTCTGCGAGTACACATTCTCCACTCCTCAGGCACTTCATCTCCCCTTCTGGGCACCTCAGGGACAAGGCAACAGTGCAGCCTTCTTCATCTGAGTAGTCCAAGCAGTCTCGGTTCCCATCACAGTACAGGGAGGAAGATATGCATTGGCCATTCTCACACTGAAATTCAGAGGGGCTGCATTTCTCACGAACTGAGAAAGATAGAGCTCTGGGTAAGAACTCAGACAGATGTGAAGCAACTCAGTGACATAGAAAATGCTTTAAAGACTCTCCTGGTTTCTACTATTATGTTGGGACCCAGCCTCAGCAGGTGTTAGGCCAGGAACATGGCCGAAGTTAAAAGCTGCACTAGGAATGGCCTACTGAGAATCTCCTTCCCCAATCCTCTCTTCATCCTAGAAAAACAGTTCTGAGGGATAGGGATGAGAAGACATAGAAGAGGACACTGGGACAGGCAGAGTAAGGACCCTCCTCTCTATCTTTCATTTGTCTATAATAAAAGAAATTCTCCTATCACATCCACATATTCTGTTGTTGTTGAACTCAATGCCTACAGATAGGTACTGTTGATTTGGCTTAAGAACAGAACCAATCCCTAGAAAGTCATAAATATATATTAAAGGTAAACTACACCTAGACTTCTTTTCCCTTCTCTCATCTCTTTTCCTCTTGACACTCTCATGTAGCCAAGTACAATCCCAGCCCCTGGCTGCACACAGTTGCTTCTACTCCCAAATCTGCCGATAATCACCCAACTCTTCCTACTTCAATTCGAACAATTCTCTCCTCTACCCAAGTCCCACAAGGAGATACAGGTGTTGAAGCATGCCATTAGTGAGAGAAATAGACTCTGTATCCTATTAAAATGAAGGGAAAGTAACAAGGCCTACAAACGAGATAGCCCATCATGTGAAAAGACCTAGGATCAAATATTCAGGGAGGTAGATTTTAATTCAATAAAAAAAGAATTTTGGAAAATACTTTTTTCCACTAATGGAAGCCTTCTTTTGAAAGAAAGAAGAGTATTTTGTAGGATACTCAAGGGCCCTCTATCTCAAAGCTTTTCCTCTCTGGCTGTTACCTCCTTAAAGCACAGTGGATCATCATCTGTGGGTTCGGCCTGGACATATTCAATTTGTTGCTGACATTTCTTTGTAACTCCTAATTAATACTCTCAGACTTTTATGGTCATTTGGTGATGTAAGCAGAAGAATAAATCTTTGAGTTGCCCAGTGTATATTTGTTCCCAGCTAGACCAAACAGATGACACTCTGCCTTCTTGTGCCCACTCTCACAAACCAGCTCCCTTATGTGGTCTACTCAAGACAATATCGTTCACATTTTTACACTCTGGTGATTTGGCTATTTCAGTGACTGCAGAATGAATGAAGTACTGGCATATGTTCCCTCCCACACAAGAAGAAGGCTTGCAGAGCCTTCCTGCATTCGATAAGCTTTGGTAAGGCATGAGCTTAAATGTGAGTATGATGCTAATAAATCAACAGAGCTGACTGTGATGCACATGCCTTTGATACCAGCACTCAGGAAGCAGAGGCATGCCAATCTCTCTAAGATTGAGACCAGCCTGATCTATATAGTAAATTCCAGGCCAGTTGGGGTTACTAGGAAACCCCATCTCAAAAATAATAAATAAGTACAGTATAAAGGCATATTTGAACAAAAAATACACATACAACATAGTAATAATAAAGCTGTTGTGACCAGAAGTTTGAACCACACTTTGTATCCTTTCAGGGAGTAATGGTCCAGTATCAGCTAAGTTACCATTCAGAGTAAATTTATAAAACACAACTTCCATAGATAAGTGAATCAACTATAAGACAATTTAAAATATTCCCAGGAAGTGAGTGCCATGGGACTTACTGCATTCTTGCTCATCTCATTTGTCAGAACAGTCTAGCTTCCCATCACATCTCCAGCTCTCAGGGATACAGTGGGTCTTGTTGTCACAATGCAGAGAACAGTCTTCAGTGGGCTTCCAGCAGCCCAGTTCATCAGACCCATCCAAACACTGCTGAGCCCCATCACCGTGGTATTTCTCCTCTATGCACCTGCTTCTATCCAGACACTGGAAGGCCCCTATGGAAAGTGTCAAAGGCTAGCATCGGTTAGAGGGATGATTCAAAAGCATATTAACTTACTCTCATTCTGGAGTTTGAGGAGTAAACAGATTGCATTTCATTTGATCTGAATTTTAATATGTAGTTGATTTGTAAGCAACCTTTAATAATGTACTCAAGTCAATTGTGCTAACAACCTGAAATAAGTCATTTAAATAAGACCTCATTAATTTGGTTGCTTTGAAAAGGTTAAACGACAACTAACTCTTTTAAGTGAGTCATTTAGGTCACTCTGTGGACCAGACTATACAAAGACAAATATTAGAACACACCAAACTTAGGGAAGCAAGCAGGCAGTAAACACTGACTTAAATGGATGAAATGTACTCAGGAAATCAGCATTCCTACAGACTATGGCTTCCATCTATGTTTACTTGTCTAGGAAATATTGGAATGATGACAATTAAACAAATACTCAGGCAACTGAGGTCATGCACCCAAAGATGAGTCAGCATACCTGGCACAAAACACTGAGGACAGGAGAGAGTGGCGAACCTGGCCAATGGCAGACCCGAGAGCAGTTCTCTTCATCAGAGCCATCCTGACAGTCACCATCACAGAGGGACTCCTGGGGAATGCAGGCCTTCCCATCTTGACAGGGGACAGAGGTTTGGGTGCAAAGCACAGGAGGAGGGGAAGGGGCAGTGGGCGCTGCCCCCTTAAGCCCAGGATCTAGAGCAAATTGTGTCTTTTTAGTGAGTCAGTCCAGGAAGGCCCAGCAATGAGACATGCTCCCATTGTCCTCTCCCTCACGAAGCCATATCAGGGCTGAGTTTCCACATGTCTATACTTCATAAGAAGCACAAATGAATCCACCCAAAGCTTACATCATTAGATGAAGTGTTCTTTAGGGAACATTACCTGCTAGCTTCAACCTTAATTTTTTTTAACCACCCAGTGCTCTATTTCCACCTGAGAAATGAAAAATAGAATGTAATTTTGCATCACATGATGATGTTTCCATCAACCATAGACTACACATAGGATGATCCCATGGTTATAACGAGGCTGAAATGTCACGCCATCTCCAATGAAGCCCACGTGAGATCCTCCATGGGTTGAGGCTGGAACTTCAAGGAAGGTTGCCTCTTGGAATTGGCTGTGCTAAAAAACATGCAGTCTACTTGGCATGCTTTTACTTGCTATTATCTTTCTGACTGTCACTGTATCATGGACTTTCAGGGGCCCAGAAAGCACCTGGTGTCCTTGACACCGCTGCCACTGCCTTTATTGAATCTTTTAATTATCCTAGTATGCAGGAAAAGTTCTCAGGAACTCAATCACAAAAGACAATTTTGCCTTCAGGTGCATCACTATTAATGAAAGCTATTTTAAATGCAACAAGAAGTAGTCAAGCAGAATTAATGCTGGAAAGTCCAGGGAATAACAGATTTTTAGAAGAGAGACATAGATGAGTAAAATATAGATAGAAGAAGGGTTTCTTGGTATTCATTACAATTCATGGATAAATTGGCAAGATTAAGACCACCTTGGTGTCTTTTGATAAAAGATCAACAAGAGAGCATTAAAAGGCAACTACAGACAGTATTTGAAAATTGGTAGGATAAGAGAGAAGGATGGTTTCATGGATCCCTAACATGGGATAGCCTTTTTGGGACCTATAGAGTTAAAAATAACTTAGAAGCCCTATGGCTCACTACAAATAAGCAAGGAATATTATCAAATAGTTAAAAAAGTAACAATCAGGCACAGCTGGTGTTGAAAGTGCTTAATGAGTTAAGGTCATCCTGACTTGGGACTACAAAGCCGAGCAGAATCCTAAGTGTGTGAGAAAGGCTGGCAGTAAAAACCACAGTAAAGCAAGAATTTACTGTCTAGTATCAGGTTGATAAGATAGAAAAATGTGTTGACAAAACTGTTTTACTTTCATCTCTGGAACTGTGAATCTTAGCATGACTGTTCTGCGTTTTTTTGCAATCTTTGCTGTATATATTTCAAACCTTGCAGCTGTAAAAATACACTCAGACTTTCATCAAGCTCCTTTGTGTCTGTTTGTCATTCGCCGACTCCTTGTCCACCCTCTCGACGACCCTGTTCCCGTCGGACTGAACTGCCCCAGTCTGGGCTGGTCCGTCGCACTGAAAAATTCCTGTTGCCTCGTTATTACAATCAACCCATGTGAACAAAACTACTATGCTAACATAAGCAACCTTTACTAATGTACTCAAGTAAATTGTGCTAACAACCTGAAATAAGTCACAGCGTATATACTTTTTAGAGTAGGTATACTCTCTAATATCAAGGTTTGTGTGAGTGCATTTTATGATGGTAGCACAGCAATGATACCACTGAACAACATGTTTCTCAGAATCTGTCCCTACCTTAAGTGATGTGTGGTAGTCCTTCTGGTTCCCTGGCATAGGCCAAAAGTCAGCATAAAATAGGCACTCATTTGTTGAGATGCATAAATTATACTGCTATAAGTCACCAATTAATATTCATCAGCAACTATTGCAGCAACTGAACAGATTCATTAGAACTGCTCGTAAGTGTGTTGGTGCGTGCCTTTAGTCCCAGCACTTGGGAGGCAGAGGCAGGCAGATCTTTGTGAGATTGAGGTCAGCCTGGTCTTATACAGTGAGTTCCAGGTCAGCTGGGGCTACAGGGAGACCCTGTCTTAAAACAAAACAAAACAAAACAAAACAAAAAACAGGAAGAAAAAAAAGATGAGGGAGAGAGAGAATCAGAACTGGATTTGTAACAGAAAAATTAATTTTATCTACACACTTTACCACCTAAGGGTAATGCTTTTTAATTCTTAAGATCAGGCTGAAATGACCATTGAGCCAAAAGGTCAGGTGGGTTACAGAGAAGAGGGAGATGAGAGATTATGGGATTGGATGAGCAGAGAAATGGTTCTGCCCCTTTGGTTTCTACTCAGCTTTGAGATGCCCAACTGCTTCTACTCGACAAAGGTTATAAAACCTGCGATATGAATTCCCATTTTTCTGCTTCCTAATCTCGGGTTGGATTTCTAGTTCTGCAAAAGGCTTATATGAAAAGATGACAGGAAAGCCAGCTTTATGTAAATCCATCTGAAAAATTCCTGATACAATGACAGTCAAAGGAAGAGTACTGCATTCCCTAAAGAGGGTGAGAGCCCCAGTCTAAACACTGGAAATGCAAAAGACTCTGAAATATCAAATTTTCTGAATTCAACATGATGCCATTAAAGAACACTCTATACCTGACTTCATATGACAGGTTACAATCAAAAGGCAGACCTACTAAAAAGGTAGGAAATGACCATAAGCCTGTGTGCATAAGGTGTACACAAACTACAAATTAATTTCATGCTTACTCTTGTTTCACCCCTAAGATACCCCATTATGTATCTGCAAATACTCCAAAATTTGAAACATTCTTTATCCCAAGTGTTTTGGATAGAGGATAGTAACCTGTCTCCACAGCCCTGAGGAGCACCACAGAGGGTCCTCTGAAAATGTCACTGCTGTGTGTCTCATGAAAAAATGGGTTCTTTGGTAAATCAGTTTAGGAAACTGGTTTAGAGCTAATTTTTTATTATTAGACTAAGAGCCTTAAATATGCAACTGTGAAAGAGGCTTTCCAAAAGGGCCTATGGCAGATGGACAGACTTCTTTGACTATTGCTAAGGGACTTGCAGTTATTGCTAAATAACTGTAAATCCATTAGTAACTCCAAAAAACTGGGTTAGGGTCTTAAACTCTCAGAATATGAACAAGAGGGCTTGCAGAATTGCACCATGAAACAACTGCCAATAGAAACACAGTAAACCCAGGACTTTATCCTAGAAATCACCCTAGAGAATAGTGCCCAGAGGAAGACTCACCTGGCACCTCCGGATTCTCTACCAAGATGATCATTTTCCTTATGTGTGGCTCCTTCAGCACAGAGAAGGGCTCCAACGTCTTCCTGTTCCACAGCACAAGCGCTGCCTTGTCTGCAGTTACTAGATAGGGTTCATGAGCCACCATAATCCCACCACTCCAGGATGTGTTCAAAGAATATGTCTGGTTTTTCAGGAGACTCAGACTTTGCAACCCTAGGGAAGAATCAAGGTTGATCTGTTATCTAGAGCTGGGCAAAGTGCATGGGTACAATTTGATGGAGGTTCAAAGACACAAAACTGCATAGAAAGCAGTACGTTCTCTTCTGTTCAAGTTTCACAAGTTTTAGTTTTATATTGAAAATTAATGAATGTCTTGGGATCCAGGAAAGTGAGGGTCTTAGGTATGTCATCTGTCATGATGAGGAAACATTAGATGTGACTTTACTTTCTCAGTGTGCACTAAAAAACACATGGCTGTCAGCATGTCCCTGTGAGACCTCAATGATGGCTGCTGGGTAAGATGAACAAATTCAGGTGCACATGTATAATCGTACCTGTTAGCAAGGTATAACTGCCTCTTAGTACCTCATTTGTATTGAAAATTACATATGTTATTTCTAGTTGTGGAAGTAGAATCAAATTCTGAGGAAAATTCTGAAAAACAACTAAGTATATTTTTTAAAGAACTATTAAATATATTACTTCTGATGTATTCTAATTTTTAAATTATCAAACTAGACTTTTAGATGAGATGAGTCTGAAGTGAGTCATCTTAACTGTCAAACCTCAAGTTAAAGTCCTTGTCTAAGCAATCCTCAGAATAAGTAGGAAAGCTAAACAACAGGATTTTAGCATGAAGTACCAGCACATGTTTGAGGTGATGAATATACTAATTACTGTGATTTGATTCTTACACATTGTAGAAAGGCGTCAAAATATCACACTTCACCTTATATGTATGTACAATTATATGTATCAGTTAAACAAAGGGGAAGGGAGTCTGGAGAGATGGCTCAGTGGTTAGGAGCACTTGCTGCTCTTGCAGAGGACCTAGTTTCTGTTGCCAGCACTTACATCAGGTGGCTTAGAACCACCTGTAACCTCTGTTCCAGGGGATGTAATGTCCTCTTCTGGTCGCCACAGGTACTTACACACAAGTGGTGTACATTCAGACAAGCAAGCACACACATACACATAAATAAAAACAAATTAAATTAAAATTTTAAACCCAAAATTTTTGCAGAATATCCAAAAACACAAAAATAAATTTAAATTTAAAAATGGCTAGAAATATGTTAAAAAGAAGACTTAAGCTTGTCCTCAGACTCTGCCCACTCTACCAGTTGTAGGGTGCTTACTCAATCCTTTGGTGGCTCAGAGGATAGTAGCAGATCCGAGGTCCAAGGCCATCTGAGTGTTTGCTGCCCAGGTGCCTCTCCAAAATTCCCGTCTGTTTTTGCCATCCAGAATCATGCTTTGCAGGGCCTTCCCACTCTCCACCCAGTAGAGTGCCTTCCTGGGCCAGTCAAGAAGCAAATGCAGTATAATATTGTGGGTGCTATAGAGGGTATGTGTATCAGTACCTGGAATTCTGGTCTTCTGAATAGCACCTCAGTCTCAGGGTAGCCAGTACACATTCCCAGTTGATATGTCCACATTTGCTGAGTAGACTGTAGGAGGAACCATGACTGCATTAGAAAGAGCTTCCAAATGCATTCATCCAACAGTTCCTATCATGAGCTTCATAATGCCTACTCTGGTTTCAGCACCTGGTCATTCAAGCTTCATTGGCTGTCACAGCCACCTGACAAAGGAAGAATCCACTAGCTCTTGAAGGTTCAAGTAGAAAGTTCTGAATTTTCACTCAGGTCTGTAACTTTAGATTCACATTCCTTCTCACAGGTCAATTTGGAAATCATTCAATTATACATCAAGGGCCTAGAACTGAAATTGCTTTAGAAAAACAGATTGGGACAAGTGACATCAAAACAGATTGAAAGGAAGGGCACTTAGAGGATGCATACAGTAGGGACGTCTACAGTTAGAAGACATGGGCATAATAAGGGCCAAGTATATAAAAACCATGAACGTTTCCTTTTAGATGTGAATAACTGAGTCACACACTAACTTTCAAAGTACTCTTCTCTTCCTACCCATACCCAGGATAGCTAGTCTATGCCTGGCACTAAGCTAGGTGTTCAGCTAAGTGAAGTGCAGTATCAGGCTAGAAAGTTAGAATGCCTCCCTCAGCAGCTGTTCCATCATGAGGTGTTGGTTCATTTCTATGCCTCAGTTTCCTCAAATGTAGTGTAGTGATAACAGTTTTCTCATAGGATTGATACAAGTGGTAGAGTTAAACATGTAAAAATCCTAAAACCTTGTCAGCTATTTTATAGTAAGTTACTAAAGCTGACTGTGCAATATCACAACAGCCAAATGTCAACTGCTTGGGAAGTGGACAAATGCATGAATGACGACACAAGAAGGGGGCATCGTGTGGAAGCCAGAATACACAGGGCTTAATATGTATCTCGTTCTTCCTGCTTTAGGGTGGGAATATTTCTTTATTATATCATGACTGTAGAGGAGAAACTTCCATAAGATTACACTTCTGAATGGTCCCCATATTTATGAAATCTTTCTTGGCCAGGCAAAGTGAAATGACTTGAAGTTGGAAAATTAAAGTAGATTGGCCATCCTCAGCTCAGTGCTGGCTCTCCTTCGTAAGGCTCTGCCATCTGCAGAGAACATGCATTCTCATATGGAGCTATAAACTTAATCTTGACCTTTTATAGATTCAAGGTTGAAGGCTTACTTGCCAGGGTCATAGAATGTTCCACATTGATTCTTAAAGAGATATACATTGAAGTACTCTCATTTTTGTTTTTGCTAAGAATTTTATCAGGCTCAACTTTCAAATTGAGGATAAATTGATATACTCAAGAGAAAACACTGACACTAGAATATTTCAATATATTGATGGGTTGTAAAGAAGTCACATAATCCACAAATAGGTCTAGAGAACAAGGATGACACTTCTTGCCTTTGTCATGTATTTGTCCATTGATACAGTTGGGATCTTGACTATTCTAAGACCAACGTATTAATTGTTTGGTGTCCAACCTATGGGACTATTAGGATGCTGTGGGACTTTTAATGGGTGAGGACCACTGGGATATATTTAAGTCATTGGGAGTAGGTTCCCTCAAAGGGTTCTGTGGGTATGCAATTCCTTCATTTTCCTTTCTTTTTTTTCCTCTCTTGTTCTTTGGCCATGAGGTGAGCGGTCATGATCCATGAAGCACTTCTCACCTTTACATCAAGCACCAACCATGAGAGGTCTGAAAGCAATGTGTCCACCTGAATGGAATGCAAGCTGAAACAAACCTTTTCATCTATCATCTATCTATCTATATATCTATCTATCTATCTATCATCTATCATTTATCATCTATCTATCATCTATCTATCATCTATCATCTATCTATCATCTATCTATCTATCATCTATCATCCATCTATCTATCTATATCTATCTATCTATCATCATCATCATCTATTTATTTATGATTTTTCTTTTATAAGTTGAACATCTCAGGAATTCATCATAGTTATTGAAAGCTGGCTGTCAGCCATATACCTGCTCCACAATTGAGCAAGCTCAGAGGAAATGGCCTGGCTTTGATATATCCTTGTCATAATAATCGTAACACAAAAAATGAATTTGTATGACCAGATAGCTAGGAGTAGGCAACATTTTAATTAAGTGGGAAGCTATCACAGTCAATGGTTCCCCAGATAGCCACCAGATATGTGGAAGGATCACTGCCTGTTTCAGATTACCCTATTTTCTGCCTCACATTGGAAGTTGCTACACACCAGTCACTGTGTTCACCTGCAGCCCTCTGGAGAGCATGTGCTGAGGGAAGTCTCTGGGTCCTGTATTTCAAAGACACTTCTTGCAGTAAGGCTTATCCTTGGCATTTGGCAGAACACTCAAGTACCTTCAGAAATCTAATTACTTACACTGGAGCTCAAGTCTCAGACTTCCTTTACAAAGTAGATGTTTGCATTTAGATAGAGTACAGGGATCTTGAGGGTGAGGCGTGGCATTTAGGAGTGTGGGAAAGAAGAGAAAGTATATATTGCCATATTAAAAAAAATCTTGCTTTTTCTCTCTTAAATCTGCATTGCAAATGACTTCTAAATCAGCATAAGAAAAATCTGCAATGCAAAACTGAAGAACAATTGGTTCATTTCTACCCTTCCCTGAATTATATCCAGAAAAGCTAAGTTTTAAAACCCTCGTTCAACCTCTAGGTAACCTTGTGACAGTGGTCACATCTGAGAACAAAGGTTAATAAGAGACACAACAGTTAAATTAGTTACTCTTAATCTTTAGCATGAAGATACATTCAGATTAGAGATGGATAAGATTTTTTGACCCTAGAAATTTTAGAGTCAGCCAATAAAAAGGGAAAGTAAGATGGTTACCACAACTAACCTGAACACTGGGTCCAAATCTCTTGCTTTTGTCATGAATATCCACTTGAATAGACTAGATGCCCCTGGGTATTTGTCCAATAAACAAAGTTCCTTTTCCAATCAACATCCAATAAATAGAGGTTCCCAGGATGCTCCTGTACCAGAGTTCTCTCTATAGCCATTCCCATTGAGCCAACTTTCAACAAGTAAACACGTTTTCCAGAAGAAAACACAACTTTTAACTCTACGAAGGAAAAGGAGAGACTCGCTGCTTCACCATTTATAAAGTGAGTTCCTGGTCCCTTCTTGAGTAGCTTTATCTCAAGCTCAGTATCCATAGAAACGGGTGTTACAGCACTGCCTCTGCAGCACATGAGCATGAGCACTACAGCTTCTAAGGAAGTGAGATGTTTGCCAGTGTTCCTCTGCTTTCCCATGGCATTAGGTATTTTGGATTTTTGCTAGATGGCTAAGATCAAATCATCATGATGAGAGCTGGGGTGCTGTTAAAAATGCCTTGCTACTAAAGAATATTAAATACTCTCACTTATCTAAAGAAATATTAAGTTTTTGAGTATAACTGTATACAATATATAATGCTCAAAATAAAATTTTAAACTGATTAGTTTTCTGCTACAGCTTCTCATACCATGATCGCTTCAAAGCTACCCCTGTGAACTGCATTTTTAAAGAGAAGTTGCAATACACTCATAGACATAAAATAAAAATAATAAAATATTAAAAAAGAGAAATTGGAGAATAAATATTTACATGAATTATTCTTCTTAAAATTTTAATATTCTACCAACTGGGGGTGGTGGCACATGCCTTTAATCCCAGCACTCCAGAGGCAGAAGCAGATAGAGCTCTGTGAGTTCAAGGCCAGCCTGATCTACAAAGTAAGTTCCAGGCCAGTTGGGGCTAGAGAAAGACCCTGTCTCAAAACGACCAAAATAACTTTTTAATGTTCTACAAAAAAAAAAAGTCACATGGAAGTGAACCTGATAGCCATCTTCAGCTGCTGCCTCGCTTCTTAGGCATCAACAACAGTCCAGCACTAAGACCAGGCAATACCACATAGAAAATGAAAGGTGATGGATCTATTGACATGTTTTCCAAAGTCCCAGAGAACCAGTTCTTCCGGGCTGCTAAGCTCATGGAAAATCACTTGGATTCTGAAATTCAGAAACTGGATCAGGTCAATGAAGACGAATTTGACCTCCTCAAAGAAAAGAGACTGGCAACACTGAGGAAAGTCCAACAGCAGAAACAGAATGGCTTTCTAAAGGACATAGCTAATACAGAGAAATTCCTAGTGAGAGAGACTTTTTTTTCAAGAAGTGAAGGAGAGTGGAAAGGTGGTTTGCCATTTCTACAGGGATTCCACATTCAGGTGAAAAATGTTAGGCGGACATTTGGCAGTACTTTCCAAGAAACATAGTGAAACCTTTGAACTTTTTGGAGCTGAATGTGGAAAAAGTGCCATTTCTTTGTGAGAGACTGCCCATCAAAGTCATCGCCACACTAGCACTCTTCAAAGACGTGAAAATGCAGGATGATGTTGGATTTACTGACCTAGAAAGTACAGATGACTTCATTACAGAGACTGTAGAGTGGAGGCTAGGTTGTTCTCATACTATTAACTACAGTGGAAATTTGATGGAGCCACCATCTCAGGGTCAAAAGAAATTTGGGACAAACTTCACAAAGCTGGAAAAGAAAATGATCCGAGGAAAGAAATAGGATTCAGATTCTGATGATGACTATACTCAGCTATAATTCTTTGTGAATGATCTGTTTACTGTCTGTTTACTTGAGATTTAAGTGTGTTTTCTAAATTCTGTTGATTTCAGTACACTGGCATTTAATATTCACATCCTGGAATTTTATACCATTTCATCACATTGCTTGGTGTCCTCACTTTTTTCTATGGGGCTAATGTGTGTAAGTTGAGAAAAACTCTGGAGTGTTTAAACTCCCTGAAAAGGATCTGGATTTTCTAGTTTTGAGACTGGTTTTGTCACGATGAGATTCTGGTATCTTTATACCACTCCCAGAGATAGAAATAGAAATGCAACAAGGCAGTCCAGGACCAATTCTCAGTCAGTGTTGATCACACAACAGGTCAGGTAACATTTACTGATGTAAGACATGCATTTGTAAATGAATTCTAAACACTTCATCATGGAATGCATTTCAAGAATGATTAAAGACTTGCCCATTTATTCTAGATGCAGCACAGCAATGTTGAATTAGCCAATGGCAGCAGGAAGCCGTCAGGTTGTAAACACGTTGCCTTATTTAAAGGATCCTTGTTGCGCACATCTTAAAACATGCATTAGAAAGCAGTCAAGGAAGCAGCCTTGGAATGACAACAGGTGTCCATTGACCCCTCTCAATAAAACAACTGTAAAAAAAATTTAAAGCCATCAAAGTTGGGTAGTGATAGTCAATAGATTATGTAGCTTTTAGTATTTTGAAGATGAAACACCAGCATGAAAAATTTGTGCTAAATGTTTAAGCAGAGAATTTGCTTATAAACAGAAGACAGACTATAACAGACAGGAGAATAGAGGATTCATTTCTTCTATTAATTTATTTGTAATATTTTCATGTAAACCTGGTAATTCCATATACCATTTTAATGTTTTAAAACTAATCAAATCCAATTGTCTATCAATAGATGAACACGTAAAGTGTGGCATATACATAAAATATACTATCACTTGGCCTTAAAAAGGAATGCAGGGCTGGTGAGATGACTCAGCAGGTAAAAGTGCCTGCCCTGCAAACCTGAGGTTCTGAGATCAATCCCTGGAACTCATATAGAGGTCAAAGTACAGAACCAACTTCACAAAGTTGTTCTCTGACCACTACACACATGCTGTAGCACATATGCATCCCCTACCACAATAAAATAAACACAATTTTAAAATAAAAGGGAATGAACTCAGGGGTGGTAGAGCACAATGGTTGTCACAACTCTCAGGAAGCTGAGGCACAAAGATCGTGAGTTTGGGGTTAGCATGAGCTACATAGTAAACTCAAAGTCAGCCTAGACTATATATCAAGACCTTGTCTCAGAAAGCCAGAAGAAAAGGAAAGGAAATGAAATTCTCTCCCGTGCTAGAACATAGATGTACCTCAAAGACAATATGCTAAATACACCTGAGCCAAATGTCCTGGGATTTCACTAAATATGGCACCAAGAAAGACAAGTCCAAACAGACAGAAAATAGAATTATGGTTGATAGGAACTCGAGGGAAAAGTGGGTGGAAGTTAATGTCTAACGTGTAAAGAGCCTCATTCGGAAAGATGAAAAGTTCTGTAGTTGGATCCTTTATATGGTTACACAAAAATATGAATGCATTTCATGGCATAATTAAAACTGGTGCAATGGTTTTTGTTAGGTATATTTCAGCACCATTATACAACTGAATCAAGTTATTTTCACGAAAAACCAGTTATCAAAGAAGGTTGTCGAAAAATAAGTCATTGATTCATAAATGAAAGCTACCTTATTTCCAGGCTGCTTTGAGAAGCCTCTTGGAAATGAACCCATTTCACCAGGGAACTTACCATTGCATGTACCAGAGGGTAAAAGAAATAGTCCTTCTGGGCAAAAACACTTGTAGCCCTTGGGATGGATGGGAGACAAGAGGCACAGGTGGCTACAAGAACCTGGAACACACGCTGGGTACCCGCCTGTTTTAAACAGAAACCATTAGACATAGTTGCAGGTTCCTTGTGAAAACCAGTTCAAAACTCAATATTGAAAAAGAGATAAACTATTTTGCCTTAAGAGGAATCAAAATATACTTGTTGCCATCTAATTGGGTGTGTTGACCTTTGAACTCCAGTGGTCTCCTGACTGTCTTTTAGACCATTGCTTAGGACCAATACAGCTTCAATCAACTGCATCCTCTCCCTTGGAATCAATATAAAATGATTGTCTTGCTAGATTAGAAGACGCCCTTAAAGGGGTCTCAAGCATGTTTAAGTAGCATCATCTGAGTTGAATCTCATGTACAATTTCATGTTAACAAGAGCTTTTAAGTTCTCCAGAGTAACTTTTGACTTCCTTCTGGCAGTGGTTACAGGGCTTTGTTCCATTTTCCTTTATTAGTTGACATGTCAATGAATGTGATCCCACTCTTCTGTAGACAGCTTATGTTTCTAGTACTCCTGGACCCTAAAAGTCTAGATGATGCTTTTGACAGGCAGAAGGCACATGGCTTGGAATGAGTTTTGCCATGGATGATTTGATCAGTTCACCTTACTTAGAAGTCTTGTGTACGATGGGAAGGATAACTAAAATCCCACCCCCAACCCCCAGGATAACACACTCCAATCAGACTGAGGTAGCATCTCAGGCAGTTTCCACATAGCATTCATTCTGATTCATCGGCATTTCAGAAGCAAGCAGGTTACTTACTCTTGGGTTGCTGGGATTTGCGGAGGATTAAGAAAGCAGACACAGAGGCATGGAGCACCTTTCTCTCCTTTGGGCTGTGGGGTGAGGTATGAATCAGTTGTGTTTTATTTGCCCAGAGGAAGGCGTTCTCAAACACAGCCAGTCCTACAGGGTTTTCATCTTCCAAAAACATCCCAGGAAAGGTGTACCTCCCACTGCCATCCACTTTCACCATTTCTATGGACTGAAGGATTAGTCTCATGAGAGAGCGCATTAGCAGAGGTCAACAATACTGATGTCAAAAAAGATTTTTGGATACTGATTAAATATCTCTACATGATATCAAGTTGATAGAAATTCTTTTTAAGATGTGTGGAGTCTGATCTCAGAATCAATGGGTAAGGTGGCTCTTGTTCAGATGTGTTGTATGAGTAGTTACTATGGCTGGTGCTCCACATCTAGACACAGTACCAATGCTATCCATTCACTCTATTCTTCAACTGCTTTGTAAGGTAGACATTCTATTGATTTTCAGAAAAAGCAATGGCTGCTCAAAGAAGTACCACAATCAGCTAAAGTCACAGCTTGGAAATGGGAGAACTGAAAATGTGACTCACAAGGCTGTGTGGTTCTACTTTCAGTCACTGTGTTATCATGTTTTAGCTTGTTGTTTCAAAAATGGGATATCATGAATTGCAATGTTAAGAATTGGAAATTTGAGTACAAGACTCTAAAGTGCCTAAGTAACTGTAGGCTTTCATGGATGTTCTCTGCAACCTTAATTTTTTTTTTTATCTTAGGTACAACGTAGACCATGACATTTGCTACTGTGGCATTTCAATACTGAGTGTTGCATGTCTAGCAAAGCACATCAAGTCTCCCAAGCTGCTGGTGCAGTCTGTTCTAAACAAGATGCTGAGCACTCAAACTTTGGTTTTCTTATTTCTTATTGCCAGAAGTCACTTCATGGAGTTGATACTAGACATAAAAGAAGGGTGTACTTACCTGTAGACCCATCCCAAGCTCTTAGCAAAAGAGGATTGGAGAGATGGCTCAGTGGTTAAGAGGCTCTTACAGAGGACCTAGTTTCAGTAACAAGCACCCATATGGTGGCTAACAACCATCCATACCTCCAGTTCCAGGGAATCTGATGCTCTTTTCAGGCCACCACAGACATTGCACAAAACAGGTACATTTACACACATGCAGGCAAAACACTCCTACAGATACAATCCAAAAAATTTTAAAGAGAGTTACCAGTTCCTCTGGGCCTATCTATGGTACCTCTTTATAACCACTGATCCAGTAGAGCCTGCCAGTCACATGGTCAAGAGTGAGTCCTACAGGGTCCTCTGTGGTCACAACTGCATCTTCCTGTTAGAGCCATCCATTCCTGCAGTTTCAATAGTCCTCAGCCCTTTCTGACCTCGATTTATCCAGTACATGTACCTACAAACCACAGCAGCACACAGTTTCAGAAACAGGCCTCACTGGCATACATAAGCACATTGCTCTCAACATCCCAGCTCACTGAACTCTCTCACAGATGAGCTTTGTCACTGTGCTGCTACCCAAAGCTGGAGATATTTGCTTCCGTATTCATCAGGCATGGAAATTTTGGATTTATAAAATTCACAGCTAAGAATTTTGTGGTACACATGAAATCTAGGTTGAAAAAAGCTGACTTGTCTTCTTACTAATTATCTAAAATGCAAGTGATTTTTGGATACACACACACACACAAAAAAAAAAATAAAATAAAAAAAACAAACAAACAAACACCACTTACTTCTTTGCAGGAAAAACTACTAGCTGCTCCGGCACAAGATCTTTTTCCAAGATTTTGACATAGCCTCTGCCATCACTTAAGCCAGCACAGATGACCCTTGTAGAGCTGCTGGCCCAATACAACTGTCCTGTGAACCAGTCCAAAGAGATACTGTTTACTGGTGTAAGTTCTAGAGACAGGGGAGACAGCATTACACTCCTGCATTCATGTCTAATGTTTACATTGAAAACAGACTTGGACAAAATTCTTGGACAACTTCTGATTTAGAACAATACAGTGAGGCAAATAGGACCCAAGAATAAAGGCCAGAGATGTGCCATGGGGTCTTCAGCATGCATGGGTTGAGGAGAAGAAGGACCTAAGGAGCAGAACCAAAGAGTATGATAGCCGGTGTCCTCAGCTCAGGCATCAGTCATCATAGAAGTCTCCAGGGAACTGTGGCGTGCTCTACCTCATGACTAATCCCACAGTGTGTCTATGTTGCAGGACTGCACCAAGCCTTTCTTTAATACACTGTCTAGTTAATCCCCATTCTCACCTAGTGAGACAAATACTAGCTAGTGATATCATCTTACAGAAAACAGGTCAAAGGAGTTAAGACCTCGCCCAAGTCCATATACTTAGTGATAGGGAAGGCTAACTGTGGCTTGAGGCTACATCCCAAGACTTTCTGTTCTTTTGGATAGCACTTTCAGGTCACAAGCAATGTTCTGTGTTATTCCTATGGAACTATCCTATTGCAGATATATCTCACACTGGGATTTTATACACTCTTATGCTTTGTAACAGGTTAGCCATAGAAGCTCATCCATATGTTTGTTTTATAT